GTTTTAGGTGCACGTACCCGATCTTTCACGAGTCTAAACTGTTTCTGTATCTTGACTCTAAATCCTTTGATTACCTCGAGCCTATGATCCCTCGTGCAATCAATGGCAGTTGTGAGACGGACAAAAAATTACAAGTCATACTGGTAAGGGACATAACAGGCAGTACCAGATTCATTTCATGTATCACCCGTTACATGATCTCTACTGGATATCAAAGAATACGCTGCTGCAAAGCGCACCTCACGGTGTCAGAGCATATAAGCGAAAGATAGTTGCCGCTGTTGTTCCAGCCATCTCTGCGAAACTCACTGCTACCGAATGAAGTGCACGAAATCTCTTTGCTGTGTTTGCTTATGATGTGTTTCTCAGGGACTCAGAATGAGTTACTCACTTGAAGGGACCTCGCTCTTGATGGGGGGGGGTAGTGTAAGGATCTGCCAAACACGGACTGAGAACACAACAGATTTCTGAGTTTTGCAGAAGGAATGAATGCCTTGCTGAGATTACCGCTTTTTGCTGAGTTTTCTAAATCTGTGTGTGTGCATGCTTGCTGGTCTGCGTACACAGTCTGAGTGCTTGTTGGCTAGAGTGTGTGTGTGACCCGCAAGGGCACTGATCAGGGCCAGTACTTACCTGTGGCCGTGACTTCGGGTTTGCAGCGGGGAAAAACATTCAAGTGGCCGAAGGGGTAGCTTAGGGCACACTCGAGTAGTGGTAGGGTAGGCCCAGGCCGTAGGCACGCAAGTAGTAGGTAGAACGGTACCACTCCAAGTAGCTGTAGATGTGTCGGGAACTGGAGGCCGAGCAGACGGAGATAAAAAGTTGACATTTTTTTAGGCCAAGTAGCAGTAGGCTAGGTCTAGGCAAGTACCAGTCCAAGCAGTCTGAGTCTAGGGCCTGTACGAGCGATAGCAGAGTCTGCAATGATGTTTCCCTCCAAAAGGGAGGAGGTAGCAGTTGCTTGGAGGTCGTGCGGCCTGGAAGTCACTGCCCAAGAGGCAGGTAGGACGCTATATCTCTAGGAGGAGCGAAGTGCTCCTCATTTTGCTGTGTGCAAGTTTGGCGACACGCTGCTGGAGTGCTGGTTGGAGCAGCACTGGTGTAAGCCGCGCTGTGGGGAAGAGGAGCGCCCAGCTCCCCACCTTAACTATGGTGGAGGAGCTCGGACAGGAGGAAGAGGAAGAAGGAGACTAGGAGAGGGAAGCGCCACGGGTACATACCTGGCTATGGTGGACGCCATCTTCATCACCTTGGTGGGCACTACATCTGAAAGGTCCCCGTTGGGGTAGAGCTACATCAAGAAGCTTCGAGGCAGAGTCAGGCATGGCGACCTGAGAGAAAGAGGCCATAACTGCTATGCCTTGTCTTTTGCACGTAAGGGCAAGGCACTTAGTAGTCCGCCATAGCCTTGGCCTGGATGAAGAAGGAAGAAGACGGTGGTCATGGCTATAGTGGACCTCTTCTTGTGCTGGCAGTAGACGAGGGATTCGGACATTGATTCTGGTTCTGTCATTCATCATTATTATTATTATTTATTGTTTGAATAAGAGCGGAGGAGAAAAGGAGGAGTAGTTTGGTTGGCGAGAAGAAGAGGGAATTATCATTGGTCTTTGCTGGTGTACATCTTCTTCTTCTTCCTTCTTTTTTCTTCTTCTTCTTCTTCTTTCCCTCTCTCTCTCCTCTCAAGTTCATTCATTTCTTTTGCACTTGGGAGGGCATTGTACTTTCTCATGAATTTGCACTTCAAAATTGGCCAGGATCATAAAAGTACGGCAAAAATCTGTGTTGAGAACAAGAGGCTCGGACCAGGCAAATTGCACACTGTGCCGGGTCAGCAGGAATTGCTGGCAAGAGGCTTGGGCGGACTGGTGGCTCAAATTCAAACAAGAAGAAAGTGACCAGATGGGTTAACTTACTTTGAAGAACTCTCCAAGGTTACCAACTCTCTATTGGCATGAACCCCTGGCCTGCATTGTGAACAATTACCTTATTGCAGTGTTAGATTCTGAATATGCAACTTCAGTACCCGGTCACATTCTTGTGAGACATTCACACTCACGTGAGCTAGTAATGGCCCCCAGGCAGCTTATTGAGAACTCTCTACAATTGTGGGCCCAACTACGGCCGAACCTTCACCGAGGAATGTCCCTCGTACCCACAAACTACATTGGTTTTGTGGAAGAAAAAAAAAAACATTGGTTTTGGATCCAGCTAACTGAGCTAACAACTTTCGAAAACAAAATTGTGGCGAAAAAAAAAACAAAAAAAAACAAGCAATGGCTTGACTGCACCTCAACAGGGCACTAACAGGGGTGCAGATCATACACAGGGTCACCGTCACGGTGATGAAACAACCCATGTTGTGTGTGGGGAGGCGGGGAAGTATTCCCTAATGGGCTTCGCTTTCACCCCAACCTTCTTACTCGCCTATTTGGTTGAGTGTCTCCTTGTCAAGCAGAAGGTCAGGAGTTCAACTCCTTCAGGGAATTTGTGTGCGATGAGTCCTCATAAACAGGGTGCAAACACCAACAAGAAGACAAACACCCTACAAACCAGTAATCGCCACCAAAATTTTACTGTCCATTGGTGCCCAAAGTGATTCTTTCAATTTTGAATGGTGTCGAAGAACATCCAATGCATCTGAAATAAAGTCCTCTAGCAGAATTGGGAATAATACATCTTTTTAATTTTTTGTTTTTTAAAGAATTGGGCATAATCATACTGGGGTACCTAGGTCATATAGTGCTTGCACTCTGACCTTGGTAGTGGCCGGAGGGGAAAAGTATTGGCCAATTACATCCAACTCGAGGGCGTATGTATCTCTCATCATGAAAGGGTCGAGATGATGAAACGAGATACGGTGTTGCAGAGGAGCGCTCCGGCTTAAGCTACATGTCTTTGGGGCTCCAGGTTTCCCAGGTGCCCACTTTGAGATTCCACATTGGCATTCGTATAAGCGGGGGCCTCCGGCTGTGAACCCCTCGACATGGGTAATCTTGCCATTGTGGTCCTGAACGCAACAACTGAGAACGACATCGGGTGCGGGAGGTTGGTATTTCCAATTGGTCTTGTAGTATTCCCTACACCTAACCAAATCTATTTTGCGAACCAGCCCCTGACTGATCACGATGCCGGCACCACCGTTTATCCATCCCCCAAGGGATCCCAATGGCCCCCACTTGGTCATTCCAGACTTAATAGTGCCAGTTTTGCACTTAAAGTTAGGGCCTGCGCAATGCTGCATCCCCATGTATAAAGGGGTTCTATGGCTTCTTTGCGCAAGTTCACATAGTAGCCTTCGGACGAAGATGTAGGTGTCATCGTGGCACAGAACGTACCATTTCTTGTTGGGGAAATCCCTTACCAACCGTCTCAACATTACCAAGAAGTCACCCGATCTCGGTCCCATGACCTTTGTGTAGATCGAGGAGTACGCGAAATGTTGCAGCCATGTTTGTTCCAGTGCCGCTATGCGGGACTCCAATGGTGCCGCTCGATTGCGCGGTACTGCAAGCAAACTCCTTGTCCTATGCATGGTCCTAGAACTTCCGGTCCCAGACTTGGCTATGGCAAAGATTGAGTCTGTCCCCTCGAAGGCGGATGCAGAATTGGCTGTTCTAGATGTGACCTGATCAGCAGTATGACTGGTCCTCCATGATGTTCCTCCCGACCCAAAGGAGACGGTCCTGGCCAAGACTCCCACCCCCACATCATCGCTGTGCAATGACCCGCAATACGGCCCGCTTGGGGCCAGGTCGCTGAGCATCTGGAGATCCGGCTTCTTTGACCGACCAACCAGAAATCCCACCCTTGAGCCCTTCCGTAAGACTGGCAGTCCACCCTCCTCACTTTGTTTCCCTACCCCCAACCCCTTCCCCTCCCCTTCCTTGCCATTCAGTAACACCATATTGAGCCTGGGCCCTGTGTTGCCACCTCGCTCATGTCCCATAACATGGTCAGCCGCAGTGCCTTCCTCAGTGGCCTTTCCATTCGTACCCAGCTTTCTGCTTGAGGTACTACTTCCGCTGACCCTTTTGGTACCACTATGTAGGTCATCACTCATCCCACTATCGTCATCACCAATATGTGTGACTTTGTTGTTGTCCTTGTTGCTGCTGCTATTGTCAGTGCTATTGGCAGTGTCCCGATCTGGATGACCGTTGATGCCATATCGGGAACGGCTGGCAGTTTGATCAATCCACCGTACCTTCACTGGTTGCTCTCCGGGCTCGTCTGTGGTGCGGGGCTGAATCCCCAGAAGCTCTTGGAGGCGCTGATTACCCCTCGTCAACTGCTCAGCCTTCACAATGACTTTCTTTCCCGCTTTGTGCATGGATATGCGTAAATCATTGTCCGCCCTCCTTGAGTTCAGCCGCGAGAATGCAGTCACTCTGTCCTCCCCTTCAGCATAACCCTCAAGATCAGCTACAATGGCCTCTTCAAGCTCCTTTGACACTCCCGAGTTTGCATCATCGACCCTCACAACAACACCATCATCCTCCGGGTCCTCTTGACGGGCTTGGCGAGCCTTTCCGTGCCGATGCCTCAACCTGTTACCACGATAAGAGGAGGCTCCTGGGCTAGTGCTCAGAGAATACTCCCTCCTACTCCTCTGCCCAGGGCTTCTTCCAGCTGCATGGGGGCGATTGCCGCGTCTCGCCCCAGATGACCCCAAACCCTGTTGTCGTCCTTTCCGACTCCAAGAGATGTTGAGAGGAGCACCCAACTCACTATGGTTTCCTCCTACTTCTCTGGCACGGAAGTTTCGTCTTCTACCAACTCTCCTCGTCCATTGGGATTCTAGAGCTCCCCTTTCCATCCTGGGCAATGTACTGGGGTCTGATTCCCGGAAACGCTTTCGACCTGTTTGGGCAGCCACTAGCTCAATGCCAGATGCGGTGTCAATGCGCTCCTCTTTGATTGTGATTTGCTCTCCGCTTGTAGTCGAGCTGAGGTTTGACGAGCTCAACTGTTGAGCAGACCAGTTTCGATCGATAGTTTGCGGCGCGACAAGCTCAACGCGAGATGCTGCATCAATGCCCTCTTCTTTGGCTGTGACTTGCTCTCTGCTTACGTTCAAGCTGAGCTGTGAGGAGGTCAACTCTTGAGAAGACTGGCCTTGATGACCAATATCAATATCAGCGTAACCCGTTTGAAGCCCAGAACGATCGATAGTTTGCGGCGCGACAAGCTCAACGCCAGATGCTGCATCAATGCCCTCTTCTTTGGCTGTGACTTGCTCTCTGCTTACGTTGGAGCTGAGATGTGAGGAGGTCAACTCTTGAGAAGACGGGCCTTGATGACCAATACCAATATCAGCGTAACCGGTTTGAAGCCCAGCCCCCTCCCTCCCGGATGACCTGTTTAGTGTGGGGGCCAAGTCAAAGCCTTTGACTGACAGGTCACGAGCCACGCCTCCTACCTCCACTTGCAAACAATCTGCCGGATTGACTTTCAGCTCCGGCTGGACCGAGCTTGAACCTCTGCGCTGCAACCTGCTGGTATTCCCACAAGCTGGTCGAAAACTTGCTTCAGCAGTTGCTGTACCTAGTGGTTCATGAATTCTCCTCACAGTGATCCCATCCTCATCCTCATTCTTTTGCTCCACATCTTCCCCCTCCCGCTGCTCCTTACCCTCCTCCTTCTCTTCATCCTCCTCCTCGTCTTCCTCCTCCTGCTCCTCGCCTACTTCATCCTTCCTCTTTTTTGAAGCCTCCCATTGAACATCCTCTTCCCATCCTTTGGCCAACGATGTGCCTGCCACCGGTTCGTTCTTCAACCTGGAGTCAACGGTTTGCTCAGCCTCCCTTCCCGCGTGCCCCACACTCCAACTGGACCTGTTGAAACCAATTAACTCTGGATAAGCGAAGTCCCACACTTGTGCGACTTGACTGCCACTCTTCTTCTCCCCAATCACCTGTGTGACCACATTCTGCTCATCAACAACCCCTTCTTCTGCACCTTCACCCCTACCATCCTGATGCTCTCTGCCATGATCAGCTTTGACAGATGGCACAAACGCCCTTCCCCGCAAATCAACCAGATGGCTGTTAGCTTCGGACTCTTCTCCGGACGGATGGGTTGAACTGCCAGCAGTGCCATTTAACTTATTAGCTTCAGATTCTCTAGGCGAATGGACCAAAATGCCAGAACCACGTGAATTGGTCGTGACCGACATGATGCGATCAGTGACACCCTCTCCTTGTTGCCATTCATTCTTCCTATGCCATCCCCCTCTTCTCCTTCCACCAACTGGAAGGCCTTCAACTCGGCCATCCTCCTCCTCTTCTGACAGTGTCTGCTTCTCTTCTTCATTGCCTGGTCGTTCTACAGCACCAGAACTGCGTTTGCCTACTGGTGATACTTTCTCTTCCTTCAGAAACTCGCTGTTGCGGCCACGATCGCCATCTGATCCCGAGCTTGACGTCTCCAGACGCTTCCCTCGTTCCTCCTCCCTTTCTCCGAAATGCCATGGCCCCTTCTCCGGTCCTTCCGTCTCCAACATTGATCCTTCTCCGGTCCTCCCCATGTCCTCCTGCTCTTTCCTCTTCGGTCGAGCAGAAGGCGACAGTCTCTCTTCTCGTTCCTCCTCTTTTGGCAGACTGAGTGTGCTGCCAGGGAAGTGAACATCTGACTCTGAACTCCACCCTCCTCCTTTTTCTTCAACAAGCCTTTCCCCACCACCTCCAGCAACTGCTGCTGCTCTAGTCTGTGGCACCTCCTCCTCCTCCTCTTTCCTCTCTGATCGGATGGAAGAATTCGTATCAATGTCATCATTGCCAGCCACCACTTGCCAGTCTCTCAAGGAGTCCGACGAGTTGTCAGCACCACCGTCAACCCCTCCCCTCCTCCCATGCTCCTCCCAATTCCTCCTGTGATCTTCACCACCCAAAGAAGAGGAAACAGTTGCTCCAACGAAGAAAGAAGACCTCGAGGAGGAGACAAGGGAGCAAGAGGAGGGAGAGGAACAGCTTGAGGAGGAGGAGGAGGAGGAAGAGGAGGAGGAGGAGGAAGAGGAGGAGGAGAAGGAGGAGGAGGAGGAGGAGGAGGAATCAGTGACACCTTCCTTCCTCCCTGTATTCTCCTCCGAATTCCTGCGATCACCATCGCCAGCTGAAGAAGCTGAATCACTAATGGCGGAGGAGGACGACGGGGAGTGGGAGTCATCTTCTCCCTCAGTCCCGTTCTCCTGCCAACCCCAGCCACTGGCCCCATCAGCTGCAGACTTAGAACCACGATCTGAGGAGGTGGAGGTGGTGGTGCTTGTCCTGGAGTTGCTGTGAGCAGCCACTGCCTCAGAATCTCTTTCCTCTGCCCCTCGTTGTCCTTCCTGCTGAGGAAAGAGTTGTGTGAAGAGAGAGCTAAGGAAACCATCACTACTCTCTTGGCTCCACAGCAGCCAGCTGTCGTCCCTCTGGCCTCCTCTCTCTGCATGAGCTCTCGGCAACTGCAGCCAACTATTGTTGTTGTTGTTGTTGTCATTTAACATACCCGGTTCCTCTCCCCCATGCTGTCCTTGATGTGATTGCCCCTGTGAGGTAGCAAGCGGCATGGCCTCCTGCTGCTCCCTGCTGTGCCCAGATTGAGGCAAAGCAAGGCGGAAAAGGGGGGACAAGAGGGCCGAGCAGGCCATCATGCAAAATAACCCCTTTTGGAACCCCTTTTGGAACCCCCTGGTGAAGATGGAAGGGGTGCTAGGGGTTCTGGTGGTCCGCGCCGGAATTTTGCTACAGTTGAGCACAGGATTGGTAGACGGGTGCAGCACCCGGTGATAGTGGTGCTGATGCCGTGATTGATGGTGATTGGGATGGGGAGGGGGTTGGGGGTGGTGGTGGTGGTGGTGGTCCCCACCTTGTTGCTGCTCGCTGTACTGACCTTGCAGTAACCCGAAGGCCGCAACTTGAGGGGTCGCCTTGCCGCCGTCGGCCTCGCTGAACTGCCCGCTGCGCTGCATCAGGCCCCAGATCTACCCCCCAGTCTCTTCTCCCGAATAGAACGCATAGGCATTATTCGATGGAAGCCTGTTTCCACGTCGATTCACGCACCAGATGGGGCGATAACCAGCATAACGCGTACGCGTTCTATTCGGGGATAGACCGGTCGCACACACACACGGCATATGGGACCACCACCACCAGCAGGACCAGCAGCAGGAGGAGGGCCTCAGACGTACTGCTGCTGGCCAATACATCCAATACATCCCAGTCCTCCTTGCCGTCTCTTTCGTAACCGAGCGAGAACAACCTCTGGACATTATTATCGAGTTCCCTGACCGGTCTCGAACTCATGACCTGTCCAAAAGCCGCAGCAGCAGGGCGGCCTTACTGACATCATTATCGAGTTACTTCACCGGTCTCGAACTCCTGACCTGTCAAAAAGCAGCAGCAGCAGCAGGGCGGCCGTCCTGCTGCAGCTGGCCAGTACGTCCCTGTCCTCCTCTCCGTCGCTTTCGTAACCGACCGAGAACAATCTCTGGACATTTGGCATAGCCAAACCACTCTCCAATTGTGCAAAATGAGAATGAACTTCCCGCTAGAACAAGGCCAGATGCACCCTCCACATTTTTGTCTTTTAAACTCTTTTTCACATTTCGACAGTGGTGCGGCCGTAACTTCACCAGTCTTGAACTCATGACCTGCCAATCAATAAAACCCTACGAGAGTACACCCTCAGTTCAGATCGCGTTAGCAAAATTGCAAAAGGACAAACCCCCTTTTATCTTTTTCCCCTTTTTATTTTTTTATATATATATATTGGGGTGATCACAACTGTCTATATTCTTCTCTCAACTTCTGTTTCTTTACCTTCCACTACCTACTCCTAAGACTATCTAGAGGGGACCCCTGCAATCATAGTTTTCCTCTCTTTGTGAAGGGGAGATTTCATGTTGCCCCTTGCCCCTAATGGTTAGGGTATAGGGTTGGGGCCGCCAGTGGGGGTCTGGCTAACACAAAGACCGAGACCTGCCAGTAGCTGTGCCTCCCTTTCTCAT